ATAAGTACTGGCTCTTTCACAGGGGCTGGAACGTCCCGGCCACCGCCCACATGCACAGGGCTCCATCCCGGGCCTGGTGTTCACTCTCTCCTGCCCTAACCTCTCTTCCAAATCTGTGCCCTCCCTCAGTGCTGGCCACCCAGTAACTCTCTCATTCTACTTTAACTAACTCCTTCTTCTGCTGTGTCTAATGAATTTTAAATTGCAACGACCATGAGTTCGGTTGCTAGATGTTCTATTGGGCACTATTTAAAAATCCGTGAATTTTTTTTTCAGTCTTGTTCTTCCTGCTAAACCCTTTTTGTATCCTTCATTGTTTGAAACCTCCATGTTTTCTCGGTCCTGCTCATATCACTGTTGTAGGAGGTCCGGTCCCTGGGGGAGATCCTTCCTCATCAAAGCGCCAGTTGATGTTGACTCCTGGCACACGCTTGCTCTGTCTCGTACTTTCTTTAGCGTCAGCTCATCCTCAGGGGGCTCTTTTATGGGAAAACCATGGGCCTGTGTGGGGAGGGCACCCCCCAAGGCAGCAGTTCTCAGGGGTGGTCAGCCCACTGCTGCCACCAGGACACCCTTTCTGGGGATCCCAGAATTCAAAACCACGTTTCTAATAATAGCAACATAATTTACCTTTGTCACCATGCTGACATCCAAGCTGCTGGCACAAAACATGAGTAAAGGGCAGACATGCTGGCCTGAGGTGAGGCAGTGCCACCCACGCTTAGTGAAAAAGGTAAATAAAAGACAATTTTGCTTAAGAACATCCTTGATGAAGTTCCTAATGTTATGATTAATACTGCGTCACACCCCGACCCTCAAACATCTTTTGAATGTTCTGCATGGCAACATGAGAAGAACACAGAGAGCACTTGAGATGTGCACCAGAGAACAGTGATTCTTCCTAAAATAGCCCCTGCTCAACTGTTTGAGCTGTGAGCTGAATCAGATACATTTTTTAAGAAACATCATTTTTACTAGAAAAAATGACTAACGGCAAACTTGTTATTCAAGCTTGGGTCTTTGGCAGACATTTTCTCAAAAATGAACAAAGACTGTCATTTCAAGGAAAACAATTGACACTATGTGTTTCCAATAAGAATATTTGAGCTTTTAAGCCTAAATCTGAATATTGAAGAACTTTTACCCACTCTCTGGGCTAAACAGCTTTTTCTTCCAAGATGATGGTAACACTAGCAGAAGGGATACCAGAGGACGGAGTGTGTCAGCATCCAGAAGACCTGCACACCTTGACCATCCAATATTCCCCAAGTGGCCAGCATTCGACATTAAAGGACCATGGGTGAGCAGAACACCTGCTCAACGTGCAAGATGGCCCAATGGATTTCAAGCTCACTGAGTACGAAATGTTGGCTGGCATGGCTTCAGGTGTCACACTGCAGGTGACCTTCCGGGAACCACCACGTGGGTAAGCTACATTCTAGATTAACAAGAAAATATCCACAGTCATCGGAGAGCACCATGAAAAATTCTCCCTCTCCCAACGGCCTGCCTGTGTGGGGCTGGACTGTTTTCACACACTCCAGTCAGAACCAGCACATCACCACAGACTGAATATAGAAGCACAGGTGAGAATTCGGGTGTCTTCTATCAAGTCGGACCTTAAAGAGCCTTACCACAGAGGAACACAGTGCCTTTCTTCTCACTAAATAGCTATGTTTCAGAAAATATTAATTTATCACCAGATTTATTACTTATAATAGCATACAAAGGGTTCATATCATTGTTATTTTAAGATAAATTACTAAATATTTTTAAATTATCTCCATTTGAGTCTCCAACACAGTAAATATGGGTAGGATTAACCCGCATGAGTAAAGCTCTTTGAGTTCCTCAAGACTTTCTGAGACTATAAAGCAGCCCTGAGACATGAAGTTGGAGAGCCTCGATGAGAGAGCCATTATACTTTTGTTTGAGTAGCACCTGGATTTCCCTATGCAGGACCGGCTTTCCTATTTTTTACCCCTTGATAGGACAGTAAAACCTCAACTGTTATACATTACTATGTCAGCTTATTCCCTTCAAACTTACTAGCGTCCACTAGTGCGGTCATCACTCCTCATTTCTAGAGGACACCCCTCCCCTTGGTAAGCAGTCCAGCTATGCATTTTAGACAATTCTTGCTCAACATCACCCAATGCCTCCAGGCATATGCAGGGAGGGAGCAGCGTCTTCTCATGCCTAGTCTTTCATTTTCCTGGGACCAGAGTCCCCCACCCCCAGAACCTCCAGAATTCTGCCCTGCGCTAGCAGTCCCCTCCCTGCACCCTGAGCTACCAGGATACACATTCTGCAGGGACACCAGTTGGTGACCATGAGCAGCACCTGTACGCAGCAGGTGCTCACCACACTCTGGCCAAATGCAGAACACAGAGTCTTAGCCTGAGGCTCCAAGGTGAGCTGAAAACGTAGTAACCTCTCCAGGAAAATGAGCAGATGTGGTTTTTTACCCTCTAGAACTTACCCAGCAAAACAGAAATTATTTCCACTGATTTTAGCTGGACATGATTACAAAGCAGAGCAGAAAACCACAGGCCTTGGGGCTCAAATGTGGGTCCCAACACATGCTCTGACCCCAGGCCAGGGATCCCTCTGTGTGCAGGGTGTGACGTCTGCTCTGCTGTGAAGCTAAGAGCCACTTGGTACATGTTAGCTGTCACTGCCTCCCGATGCCCCACTGTGACTGCCAATGGATCACGGCTGGTGAGGAGAGCCGCTGCACAGGCTTGGCCCAGCGACTGACTCCCTGTGGTCTCTCTGGCATGTGGATTTAGCGAAACGCAATAGATAGGCCTGAACTTCCTAAAATGCAGGGAACTGGTGAAGGCAGTTGAGAGGCGCCATTTAACAAAACCAAACGTAGTTCTCAGTGGCTTTCAACCAGGGCAGTGATGTAATGAAGTGCTCAGGGAAGATGGCTCTCCTGTCATCAGGAGAGTGGAGAGGACAGGGCAAGTCCAGGAGCAAGACAGTGAGTGTGGCAACAGAAGCTTCCAGCACCGCAGGGCACTGACACCCGGTCCATCTTTCCTCTTGCTTCTATGTCTCTTAAGACCCTCACTCTTGTCCAAACAAAGCAGCAGGGGCACCACACACACCAAACCGTCCCCCCTAGGAGCTCGCCTCGTCTCAGAGAACGACAGATCTCCCCAAGCCCCAATGATGCTGGTATCTGGCACCCCTCAACCCTGCTCAGGCGAGAGCCGCCTGGCCCCCAACAGCCTGCCCAGGGTGGTAAACATGCACACCAGGAGCACCGCCCTTGTCAAAGAGCCATCCCATCAGACAGCAAACCTCAGGTGAAAGATGAAAAGCCAGCGTCACTTCCAGCACAGAGCTGATTTTATTCACAAACAGAAGGGGGATAATCTTGTATTTAAATTGCAGGAATTCCATCACTCATGATCAGAGAAGTGACATTTGAAATTTATAATGTGTCACATTATGATTCAATCCCTTTTCTAAAGAGGGGAAAAAAAGTTTTAAGTTTTGGGAGAAAAATGAAAACATTAATGTGCAGGGCAATGATCAATTGATGCTTGGGCCAAAATCGAGCAGGCGTATTTTTCGTTGTAAGATGCAAACAAGGTTCGTGTTCTTCAGTTACAGAAAGGGTTTCCACTTGTTCTTTCTCACTCCTCAATTATCAAAAGTAAGGGGAGCCCACACCATTCTCTCCAGCACAATCATTCTGCCTACTTTATTCAAATTACACCTCAGGATCCAGATCTGGAGTCTATACTGTGTAAAAGCCTTCCTTGGACCCCCTCGGCCCCAGCAGCTGAGCTGAGGCCCCTCCAGGCAGCAGGGCCAGAAACATGACGGTGACAGCAGCTCAGGAAAGCCAGCCTGATGGGAAACACAAGCGACAAGTGCACTCCCTCAACTTGTCTCTTGAGGCGGAAGTGCCCCCCTCACCTGCAACGAGAGGGGTCCCGGCACAGCCTGCAGCCCGGGGCAGCCACCTTTGGGATGAAGCCAGCCCACGGAGGTCCCTCGGGAAACTCCGTCAACCAAACAGTGCTCCAGCTCTACCCCCATGGCCGCCCCTCCACCAAGTCTCACCACACTCCCAAATCAAGTTCTCAGGAGCACATGTCTTCTGCCCTCACCAGGTCTACCCTGTGTCCCACCCCAAGCTTCTGAGAGGCACGTGCCCAACACTCTTCTTCCCCGCAGCAGCACGCAGCACCTAAGAAAGGCATGCCGGCACAGAAGGAGCCAAAAAAGGCCTGCAGCCCACTGGAGGGCCTCCATCTACCTTGGCCACTTGTGCTACAGCAAGAGGCTCCAGTCCTCGTTCCTACTCTGTGTAGGGTTCTTGCCCCAAACTACTTCCATAAAGTCACCCCTGGCGCTGGGAGACCTGCGGCCTTTCTGCAAAAATCTCCACTATCCGTCCCAACTGATACCAAGTGCAGCAGAGCCCCAGCCATGGGGAGCAAGGCCTCCAGCAGCTTGTGTTTCCCTCCAGGCCTGGGCACAGTTACGGGTCAAGCAATCAGACCCCCAGCCTGGGGCCCACAGGGGCTCTGTAGGACCGGCTGCTCATAGGCCCAGGGTGACAGACTAGGAGCTGAGGTCCTATGTCGGAGGCCCCGTAAGGGGCGGGCTGCCCTGAATACAGCTCACCAGGCATGGACAATGGAACAGCTTATCAACAACCCACATTCGGTGCTGGTACCACCTGGCATCACGGTCAGCAGAGCCAGGGAGCTTGGAATATGTGGGGATCAGACTCTGCAGAGGAGGGGAGAGCCTACTCCCTCAAAGTCCTGCTCTGCACCCTGCCCCTAGCACATAGGATTTCTCACACCCGCAACCCCGGGGAGGCGGCACTAGTACAGTTATAGAAAGGGAGGCTTCAGAAGGCAGCACGTGGCCACAGAGGCAAGCCTGCACGTCGGGCCCAGTGCTCCCCGCAACACTGGCTTCCCATACGGAGCGGCGCCTGCCTGGGGTCCGGGCCGCCAGGGGCTCACCTGAATACCGTCCAGCAGTTTGCTCATGCACCAGTATGTGTCGGCCTCGACGTTGCGCAGCACTTCTGCAGGCACGCGGGAGATGTCGGCAGCGTCCACGTCCTCCTCCTCTGTGTGCCAGGAAGCATGGAAAAGACAGCAAGTGGTTAACCCACAGGAAACACGACGGGGCGGGGGTGGGGGCGGGGCGGGCCGAGACCTGCGCTGCCGGCAAGGTCACGCTGGGGCCCATTTTTCTTGCTCTAACTAGATGACTCTGTAGGTTTCCACCTCATCACTTAATGGCTCTCAATTTTAATACCTAATTAGTTGCAGATAATTAATATTCTGAGTCCTCTCCAATTAATTAACATAATTAACATATTATGAATTATTGCTTCTCAGGCATTTCACATCCCAATAAGAGAGGGCCGAAAAGACTGTTTATTCCTAACACAGATCTGAAAGTGTTTTCATAAAATTTCATAAATTCTGCTTCTAATAGGGTCACATTTTCATTGGACAATAATTTCTCTAAAAACTTGTTCCCAAGGTTGGCGTTTCCAAAACCCCACTGGGCAAAGACCCGTCCACTGCAGGCGAACACCCAAGAAGAGACAGAACAGGCACCAGTGCTCCGAACAATCTCTTTCCTCGAATATAAAAAAAACCACTAAGGGAACAGAACTGAAAAGTTTTAAAATGCAGAACAGACGCTTAATTGAAATGGCTTCTCAGACATTTAAACAAACTAATTTTATATCCTTACAAAAGCTGCTATCACCCAGCACAACACTCATAAATGTTTTAAAAATTGTGTGTTCCATTTTTTCATTTTATTTACTTTTGTTTTATTTTGCAAACATGCACAGCATCTTTGCAAAGAAAATGTTCTTAAAGAAAAGAAACATTTCTGCCAAGAATATATTTGGAAAGTTTTAAGTGGGTAGAAATGACAATAATTTTATGAGTAATAATTGCTGACACTTGTTGAGTAGCTATGAGGTGCCATGTGTTCCTTTCCATTGTTCGAACATCCTCACTCATTAACTTTTGTCACGCATCTGCGGTCACCACCGAGGCACCCCTTGGAGACGGGGTGCAGAGAAACATGACCCCAGGGCAGCTGGTGGTGGTGGACCAGGACAAGACGTGCCATGCAGCCCAGAGCCTGTGGCCGGGACTCCCCAGCACGACGGCGCGATGCTCTGGCACCTGCCTCACACCAGAGCTCATGGCTACAAGAGCCACAGTGAACCACCTTCTACTCAGTCTCTGTTCGTGACACAGACCACAACGGTAACAACAGGCCAGGTTGAGTCAGGCCAAGCCCAGCCAGGCCCTCCAACTGGGTCACGCAGGTCTACACAGGCAGGCCCGACCCTGGACATGCATCCAGCCCAGCTGTGTGCAGCTTCGAGGACCTGTCCCAGCCAGCTCTGCTCTCAGGCCTGTCACCGAGCATCCCTGGGGCACCCGGGAGCACACCTGTAGGGATTGTGGCCGGGAAAGTCACTCCATCCCCGCTCATTCCTTCACTCCCCCACATACTCAACAAACACTTCTATGGTTTGGTTTGGTTTGGGGGTTTATTTTATTGACATGCATTTCATATGCCATAAAATTCCGCTTTTTAAAGCACACAATTCAGTGGGTTTTAGTATATTCACAGAGTGGGACAGCCATCACCACCATGTAATTCCAGAACATTCTCAGCACCCCACGCAAGCACATCAGCAGGCACTCCCATTCCCCAGCCCCTGGCAACCACCCCTCTGTGCTCGGCCTCTGTGGATTTGGCCGTTCTGGACATTCCACATAACAGGATTGCACAGTATGGCGCCTTCCATGTCTAGCTCCCTTCACTTGGCACCGTGCTCCCGGGGTCACCAGGGCACAGCCTGTGCCAGCACTTTGGTCCTTTCCATAGTAGAATAACATTCCAGTGTATGGATGGGCCACACTGCCTATCACATGTCCCCTCTGGGACACTGGGCTGTCCCCTTGCTGGGGCAATGTGACAACACCCACAGGTGCTCCCCATGTGGTGGCTCTGTCCCTACACTCCAGGCCCTTGGGCACAGAGATTAGTCAGAGGTGACGCCCTCCAGAAGCTCAGAGCCCCTCCCCTCTGATACAGGACTGGGATGAAGAGTGTCCTCAGGCTGGCCCGGCCGGCTCTGAGCTCCTCCTCTCAGCAGAGCGCACTTGGGACCTGTACCCTGTCCCAGCCGCCCCGTGGGCTGTGGGCTCTCCCTCCCACAGCCAGGCACACTCTGCCCCCCAGCCACGGCCCAGCGAGGCTCCTGGCCTCAGAACTCAGCAGTCCCGGGAGGCCCACGTCTGGCCTGAGCATGCCCTCCGATGAAGCTCTACCATGACTCTACCGGAAAATGCTGGCTCTGGAAGTGTCCAGGCAGCCTAGACGGGAGGCATCAGCTCTGCCCATCTACAGAGGAGGAAACGAGGTCTCCCAGGGCTCACTAGTGAGCACACAAGGGCCACCCGTCATGATGCCCTCCTGCTGAAGAGCAAGCTGGCAGACACAGGTATAAGCGACCTCCTCTGGCTTTGGCAGACTCGGTTCAGCTGCCACCACCCTAGAGCCGGCCTGATGTGATCTTCCACCTTGAGGAACTGCCGCAGCAACAACCATCACAGGACTCCCCTTGAGTTTTCCATGGATGCCTTCTCTTTCCAGGGCCTTCAAAGCACCAAGATATCTCCTCAGCTGTCACAACAGGGCAACAGGGAACCAGCCTCCCCAGGCCTCCAGTGCCACCGCCACCGCCCCCAGCTCACAGGGGGTCCCCCCCACCCTGCCCAGGGGAGGAGTGTAGGATGCAGTCCTCGGAGATGTTTCTCGGTCGGTTTAGCTGGCTTACTGCATTATCCCAGGAAAGGTCGGCAACCTCTTTCAGGTGTCACCCCTCACCACAGGCCATTTGTCACTCTTCAATGTCCTGAAAAAAGGGCATTTAAATCAGAGAACCTCTATGCCAATTTGTCTTCAAAAAGGCCGAGAGAATCAGAATGACCCTTATTGTCAGAATGAGATAAATATCCATCCTCTTGGAGAAAACAACTGCCGACACAGGAGAAGGCGTAGAGGGCAGCACAGAACACTCCGGAAGGCCCGCACCTCAAGCACAGGGTCAGAACCAAGAAAAGAACACCCTGAGGCTGGTGCAGCTGGGAGGGGGTCCTCCTGGGGGCTCCCCAGAGGAGACAGGGCTCTAGTGGTTCCTGGGGACACAGCCAGGAGCCAACCCAGAGCGACATGAGCATGTTCAGCACAGGTCCTTCAGGTAGATGCTGACTTACTGCACCATCTGCCATGAAACCTGGGAGACTCGACACTGTGGGGTGGGAAGGGGTCCTCAGAGTCAAGACCCCAAAATGGCCAATGGTCATGACAGGTTATAACTCACCAACTCCAAAGGTCCATGCCCCCGACCAGGACATGCTGCCTCCACGACCCTGGGGCAAGGGGAGGGACCAGGTGGGGCAGGAGCCTGAATGGGGAGCTGCCAGGGGAGCCACCAGGGAAGCCTTGGACCTGAGGAGCCCTCATACCAGCAGTCATGGAGCCGGTGCCACATAGGACTCTGCCCCTAAACATGAGCCACACTAAGTGCCACGGAGACAAAGAACACTGCTCTGGCTGAGAACATGAATGAGAGGAAACCACAGCAGGGGAGGGATTCCAGGCAAACCCAGGGTGCAAAAGAAGAAACACAATTCAAACAGGAAAATGGTAAATTCCCAGGGAAAAAGAAAACAGGAAGAACAAGCCTGTCAATGACAGAGGTGGGGCCGCGGCTGGAGCAGGGGCCCCTGGGTCCTGGTCCCTCTGGGCCACAGGATCTGGGCTTGGCTAATACTGACCCACGCTGCACAGATGCTGCACCAGCCGCTCAAGGAAGTGGGTGGCACACAGGGCCCCCCTGGACTGTGGCCCTGGATGCCCCATACATGGCCTTCTCCCAGCCAGGCAGGACGGACAGGCCCTGGAAGCCAGCACAGGGAAGGTACATGGACCCTGGAAGGTGGCATTTATACCAAACACAGGATTACAAATGATGGAACTTAAGCTGACCTGTTTCATCTGAAACTGGACTGGACTCCATGTCCCACTCTACCCTGTAAGCACAAACACCGGCACTGCACCTGCACTCCAGTCGGAGAGCTGCACCCAGGACCTCCTCCCCACACTGCCCACGCCGCCACCCTTCAGGGCTCAGGGAGACAGGGAGACCGACACATGCACAGGCTAAGCCCAGTGGCACCTGGGGAGGCAGACAAGACACTGCCCCACCCGGGACACACAGCCCACCGCTCAGGCAGGCCACAACGGCACATGAAGTCATGAAGTCACAAGGTGTAAAAACAGACATTTAATTTACAAAATATGTCATTTGCCTTCTCAAATCATAAAAAGGCTTTAGGAGATGATTTAAATAAATTCTTTGAAAATGCTACCCTGCCATATTGTTTAAAAAGAAAACTAATCCCATCTTTATCAATGACACCTTTTATATCAGAGACTCCAGCCCTCGCAGCCTGTGTGTACAAGCACGCAGAGAACAGTGCTCAGAAAGATGCCAGAAGCAGGGCCGTGGGGCCCCTGGGAAAGAGCGGGGTGGGGGGAGTGGTAAATACCACCCTTTACTTCCTGCAGAAGGGTAGAGAGTAAAAAGAGAATGCAAATTTTCACAATTTTAACACTTAGGACTTTTGCAATAGGGAAAAACACACTGTTTAAGCCGCTGACACAGTTTCACTAAGGTCTACTTTTCCACAGAAAACCCCAGAGAAAAAGTTCCTGAGGGTGGTGGGTGTACCGCCCTTCTCGCTGCTCTCAGAAGCTTGCGGGGGCCCTTGGGGGTCAGAACAATTAGGGTAGGGGGCCCGCTGGCATTCGGTGGTGGGGCCAGCACTCCCCACCCTACAGCATGAACAGCACTGCACAATCAGCACATCCAGAGTGAGTCGTGACTAGTCCACCCACGGGGTAGGTGGGTGGGTGGGTGGATCAGGGCTTAGCAGAAGGACAGGTAAATATAAGAAACTAATACAACAATGGAGGACATTCGGCCTGGTAAGAAAGGAACCACACAGGGTCAGTGGG